ATCCTCGAGGACTGCAAACCTTTGTTTTCATGGCAGGTATTTCTCAAATAGAATTCTTTCTCTCCACCAAATTAGCTCACCTGGTTCCACCAGGAGCACAAAGACAGAGTGGGACTCACTTGTACAGTCCCTGAGCACAAAGACAGGGTGGGATTCACCTGCACAGTCCCTGAGCACAGGCTGCTGCAGGGGAGACCTGGCAGGCACAGCCTCCCTGTCCCAGCATTTCAGAAAAAATCCTACCTAGAAATATCTGCCAGTCAAGACTTACAGAAAGCATCATGTCCCCTGTGGAAGCAATCCATTTTATCTACATCTTTTTGTAAATTCTGTAAAATAATATAAAAAGACAAACCATCAGTTAGGGGAAAAAAGCACAGCAGAAAGATCTGATCAGCCCATGGTGTAATAAAAAGTTACTGGTAGAAAATAAAAGTGAGGAAAGGAAATGGAAAAATGGTTTAAAAACAAGTATCCCTTAGTAGCACAGGGAAAAAATCTAGGGAAAGTCCCAAATTTCAACTATTTATGAAAACATGAGGAAAATTACTGTAAAACACACACTTCCCATCAGCAACATGCTGCCCTCAACCAGACCTGCCACCTGCCAGTCCTGGAAAACCTCAGATAAGCTCAGAAAACCTCCATAGCTGAGCACATGGAGGAATAACTATATGGGAGACACCTTCAAAGAGATACTTCAGAAGTTTATCAAGACTTCAAATAAAAATGAAAGAAATTTCTGACCGAAGTTTTAGCACATTTTACTTACAACATCCTCGGAGAGACATCAAACAGTCCAGCAGGAACCACCTCCCCACAAAGCTCCATTCTGCACCCAAAACCTTCTGGCCCTAAATGTGCCCTGTTGCAGGTCACCCACACCATGTTTGCCTGTCAGCCTGGGAGTGCAGAGGCACAGGCACACATCCCACTGGAGCTGCACTCAACCAGCAACTTTCCAACCCATTTTGATACAGAAATTACTCATGAAAAGTCTCCCCTTTTTTGCTTCTCCTATTGTTTTACAGCTCCCATGCAGCTTTGGCAAGCAGGGGAGGGAAGAGGATGTGATGCTGAGCAGGTCACATTGCTCATTGGCATTCTCAGTCCTCCTGCTAATTGTGTTCCACTGCTTTAGCTGGAACAGTCCTGAATTGCAACAAAATTGAGGAAAATCACCTCATTTCCAAGAAACCTGGCAGAAATACCTAGTGAATGTGTGTGAGATCCAGAGAACTGATGAAACATAAAACGCTTAATGAGTTTCAGTAAATAGCTTCCTTACAGCTTGTTAAACATCCACAGCCTATCTTCCAACTACATTGCATAACAGGAACTTTCCAAACCATTCTTTAGCCTTGTAAGCTATATGCTTAAGATTTAAAAATAACTATGCAAATATGGTACTAGAAAATGTAACAAAAATAGAGTTTGCTGAAAAAATCCCAATACAAATCTTATTTCAAAAAAACTGAACTGTATCTGACCAGCACTATTAAGATAAATACAATGAATTTTATTGGAATTAGACAGTTTCATTTGCTATCAATAATTTCATATTTCAAAATGATGCTTCTTTTTCTCTTAACATCTCTAGGAGCCTAAACTAGCAGAAGCTCAATGTAAATTCACTTTATGTAAGGAAACTCACTCAATGTAAGGGTCTACATCAAAATCTCACCATTTCAGAGGAATAATGGTCATTGCCAAACACTACTGATTGCACATCAATGGGAAGCCATATAAATTTTCCATTGAGGTTTAACTCTTACATTCATAAAGTTGTCTCTCAATTATCTGCAAATAATTACCAAAACAAAAACCAACCAACCTACCCAACCTTGCTACCAATAGAAGGCATTGCAGTTCCAGAGACAGAAATAAACACACACTTGTAATGCAGTGGGAAAGGGTACGGTGGAATACATGGAAATTCAGGGGCTAAGATTGAAATATGGTGCATGGCTTTTTCTGCTGTTGCACTTGGCAAGGCTGAGCACCCCTGAAATCTCATATCAAACATCTTTTTGACATTTCATGCACGACAGACTCCCCTATCCCTTTGAATACTTGTGCTCCCAGGGAACTGAACCCACCCAGCTCCCAACAGGGCAACAGAGTTAGTTTGCTTTTCTGCCAACCACCTTTACTGGGGACCAGGCAGCATTTGGGGATGCCCATCCAGGAGCACCTGCAGATGGAAGTGCCCTCATGGCCAGCCCTGTGCAAGGTCTCTGGCTAAAGCCCAGCCTTGTTTGCACACAAAGCAGGAATTAAAGGCTGAAGCCAGTCTACATAATGAAATCTGGAATTCAAATCACGGAGACACTACTAGCTAAAAGCCACAGGTATCTAATTTAATTGTAGCTAGAGTACAGAAAATACCTGGCAACACTCTGAAATGTCCAGCCACGCACAGCTGCTGTCCCTCCAGCCCCACAGCTGAATCCATTTAAAGTATTACAATTATTTTTTCAAAAATTACTCACCTTTTCAACTCTTTGAGTACACCCTCTTCCTGCTGTCACCCTGGATTTTTGTAGACAATAATAGCAACTCAGGTTTACAATGTTTTTATTTGTATTTTTATTGTATCTATTTTGGATCCCCGTGCCTCTATAATGGCTACATTAACATATTTTCTGATATGGTTATATTTATCCTTCCTGAAATTAGTTGCTATTATAAACACCTATAATAATAGTTCTGAACTTGTTTATTTCTCTTTACTAAAGAAACTCCTAACAGCATTTTATTAGCTATAAATGTCTAACAAAAAAACCCCAAAAAATCAGTTAAAGTGAATCACATTATCCTAAATAATTTGAAATAAGTTTTCAGTCTTAAAACCCTCCAGTATTTTTGAAAGAAAAAAATAACTTAGGATATAACTGAATCTAGATGAAGCTGAAGCCTTCTCATGGCTGGTTAAAGGGATAAACAAAAATATCAGCTACACAGCAAGGAGGGTTTGACATTTTGTCAGCACTATGAATGACCCTGGGCATTTGGGGAACCTGTAAATAGAGACACAAAAAAGGTAAAAGAGGCTTCTGCTGAGATGCCTCCAGGCTGGACTGTCACCAGCAATGGTTTGTGAGCTTGTAACCAAAATATGAAATTTAAGTGCTCAAGATCTCTTAAAAAGTCCAATTGCAAGCATCTAGTATCTGACCCTTCCACACACAAACTTACAGGGAAGTTACACACTAAATAAAAGTCCCAGTACACTTGGACAGGAAAAAAAAGCCATAAGCCTACAGCTTATATCAGGCATTACCCACAGCCAGAGCTTTTAAACCCAGGTAAATGGCAGGTCACATACAAATAAAAATTGGCCAAACACTATTAAATTTCCTGCAATGAAAATCCACACTAACCTTGGTAATTCCTGCTCCTGCATTCAGTCCAAAATGGTCACATGTATTTGAAACACTTGACAATAATAACACATTTCTATATTACCAGCTCTGTACCACTGAAAAAACTGGATGTACAGGACCCAATTTGTGAAATTAATTTTATTTTTGAAACATGATATCCAATTACAAATAAATAATTCATACAATATAACTCAATTAGGGTATACAATGTTCAGGCAGTTCATAGTAACAACCAAGATCACATTGAAAATGAGTTTACATTAAATAACCCATTACAACAATATACAATTGGTCATTCAATTCATGTTCAGCCTGGTCCAAGGTGTAGGCAAGTTGAAAATTGTTCCTCTTACCAGTAAAGAAAGAGATGTACACTATTTTATACCAAGTCCAAAGTAGTTAATACACCACAGTAATAAAAATTAAAAATGCTGCATTGCATCACCTAAATGTAGTTTTAGTACAGAATAAAAAGGTTGTGAATTTTAGCAGGACAAAGGTTATTGCTAAGGAGTTTTATGTCCTATAGCAATTTCTGCATACACTTACCAGCTTTACAGGCTGTTCCTAAGGCAGGGTTTGGATTCCATCCCTTCCCTGCATCTGTCTGTAAAGCAGTGGGATGTAGGACCTGTTATGTTCTTAGCTCCAGTCACACATTGCTGTCACTGCCATTCCAGCAGGATATGTCCCTGCTCAGCTGCAGCTCCCTCTGAGGTGTGCTCCTGCCTCTGGGAGACCTGCAGCAGCAGCAAACTCACTTTTCTGACATGCAACTTGAATTTCTCACCTACCCAGAAATCCTATGCTCTGTAAAGAACACTTAGATCTAGATGGAATGATAGCCTGAAGTCCTGAAAATGTTTTAAAGAATTGTGAAATTTAAAGGATATTCACAGCATCCCTGGAATTTCTTGGTCAATCATTTCAATAATGAAATACATCGATTTTCACAAGAGAGTAAGCAGTTACAATTTTCAAGGATTCAGAGACCTGATAAGTTTTTATTTACAAAAGTTTTGTTAAAAATCCCCCTCTTTTGGGGGCCCTTCAGGTGAGGTATATGCCCCTTGCTCTTAGTTTGAACTCAGATTGTTTGAAGTTTCAGTTCTTTCCATTACAGATCCCCCATGTGACAGAGGCCATTCCTCCCAAACACACATTTCTCAGTTCTGCACAGCTGCCCACAGCCCCTGGGACACTGCAGTGCATTCCAGCAGGTACCTTTGTACTTTTGTTCTTGTTACTCAGGCATGGGAAGACACGCACACACAAAAAAAAAAAATTAAAAAAATTATGGAGGAGATTCCCAGCTGGGAAGCAGTGCATCTCTGCAGGGCTGGAACCAACCCCTCCAAAGCTGTCCTTGTGCTCAGCAAAGCAGGAGGGGCAGCCAGAAGGAGCTGGCAGCCCAGAGGAGCAGGGGAGGGATGGAGGGAGCCCCACACCTGAGCTGCAGCCTGAGTGACCATCCCAGCCCCCAGCACAGGTGGCCTCAGTGGGACATGGAAGCACTCACAATCCAGCAGGAGTGGAGTCTCTCTTCTGCTATAAATCAAAAGAAAAAGCCCCACACTCATCACAAATCAAAGATTTTTAAAAAGTCTTTCTATCTCCAGCACTGAGACTGAACTTAATGAACTGCTTTGTTTTCACATTCTGTAGAAGAAATAAATGTCCACAATGAATTTTAATGCCTAATGAAAGAGAAACTATATATATCATATAAATTTTAAACATAAAAAACCCCTGAACTGTAAAATCAAATGCACAGTTAGACTGCAACCCCATCTTGTGACTGGATTAGAAAAAAGGAAAATAAAACTATTTCCAAACCATTTTAAAAGTTTCCTTTATGCAATTTCTCAAAAGGGGATTTAAACCCTTAGCAGAACAAAATACTAACTTCAGATTTGTTTAACCAAAAGCAGATTTATTTTCTTAAATCTGCTGCACAATGCACCAAGTGATATACATAGTACTTCAGCAATTTATTATTTTTCACTAAAAATCACAAAAATATTTGAACAATGTACAGTCTGTGCTGAGTTTTATTTAACAACCTGTTGATGGAGCACAGATAGACATTCAAATGTTAGTAATGTTTAATACATGGTGTGACACTTCCCTACAGCCTTAGCAATTTTTCCACTTTTGGATTCTTCAGTCATTTTTCAACATTGTCTTATCTTTACTTGTCACAAGGTTTTTCATTCATGATCTGGATATCTAAAGGCAGTAATCTCAAAAACATGGTTCTGATTTCTTTTTGTTGCTTCTATTTTCATTTGATTACTTACACCAAATTTACCAAATGTTAACAGTGTGTCATGGACAGCAGCAGGGGAAATCCATAATTAGCACAAACCACCCCATCATTTCATCAGGGAACCTGCTTGATAGCCTTCAACTCCTATGAATCTGCTTTCTATAATCAATGGAGAGCATTAATTAAAACAATATTTCAGAGGTTTACAAAATGAGAATTTGCACATCAAATACCTCCCCAAACCTCATGTCACAAAGACAATCAGCAGGAACTCCTCTCCCAAAGCAAGTTTCAGCATGGCTATGTGCTACCATAGCAGGGCACTAAGTAAGCATCAGGACCTTGAGTTTTAGTACTACAAGTAAATGATACACAAGAGAGTAATCTCCAAATTAAAACCATTTTAGTATTTGCTTCATCACAAAGTTGACTATTTTGTATGCCTTTTCACATTCTCATGTAACCCTGAATATTCTTTCCAGAAATATTTTGAAAATAAAATTCACATCTGAAACAAATCTGAATGTTCTTACTCAAGATGAAAAGAGCCCCCATATTTTTTCAAACAATATCCATGAATCTCTATTGAAACAGAAATTGAGACTATTTCTCAAAGCAAGAATTTGATGTAACAAACCAAGCAACATAAATAACTCTGGCTGACAAATGCTTCAAATATCTGTTTTTAAAGCAAAAAGTACTACACAAAAGAACAGAGAATCAAAGGGAGATTTTTAATGGCACAAAGGGCAGCTAGGCACTGTGTGAGCTGAGAACATAACTGTCATTATGACTTTAAAAATCCCCCCAGGAAGATTTGGGTTGCAGCTAGGGCAGAGCAGGGGTCTTGCCAAACTTTAATAAACAACAAAAAAGGAAATCCACTGTAATGTCCAGACCTAATGAGAAAAGACAAAGGTTGCTACAGTCCCTCTGTTAAAAGGACACAGTCAAGCTTGTAAAGTATAAGGTGAAATTAATGATGAGAGTTCATATTAGCACTACACAATTCAGCTCTGGATGAAATGGTCACGAGCTATTTAAAAAAGGAGTTTCTGTATCTGAGAGATTATTCCTAGGTTGAACTTCTGCTGTGTTAATAGCATCTTCTGTATTAAAGGAGCTTCAACTAACACCTGCAAGTCTACCTGCCTTGAGGCAGAGCTGTGCCACAACCATCCTTCCATTTTCACATAAAAATAAAAGTAACCATTAGGCACATATTGAAGGTGCATTACACAAGCTGGAATGTCAAACATTTTCTCCCTCAGATTTACACAGAAAAATAGCACAGCAGCAAATAACCTGGTCCTCTGTTCAACAATTACCTTGTTACAAGCATTTTCAATGTGCATAATGTCACAACATCAATACCTTCTTATCTTTAAATAATTAGGTAAAAAAAGGCCCCCAGTATAACCATTTCTTATATAGCCAAGTTCTCTCTATATACATCCAAATTTTAAAGATACAAATAAAACATTATACAGGATTTATAAATGTTTAAAAACTTGAGGCTTCAGAATCATGGTTTCCCAAAAAAGACCTGGGAAAATCCACAGACTGACAAGGTAGCAGAGAAAACTGGAGAAAAGGAGACGCCCAAATTTGCTGCCACAACATTTTACCAAACTCGCCAGTCATCGCGGTGATGTTATTAGAAAGAGCAGTTTACGCTGGGAATGAGGAGTGGTGGTTTTGTGTGTTGATCTCAAGTGTCGGGTTGAGACAGGCAATTCAAGTATTTGCTGTTGGCTCCAGCTGAGCAGAGCAGCAGCGGGCAGGGGCTACTTGACGCTGGTGCCGTACATGCGCTCAATGTCCGGCTGGTAGAACGCCGTCAGCTCCTTGCGCTTCAGCTTGAACGCGTCCGTCACCAGACCAGTCTCTGGGGTCCAGGGATCCGGGCTCAAACGGATCTTCACCGGGATTTCAAACTTCTCCAGGTTGGCTGTGGAAAGGAACATTTTTAATACAGAACCTAAATGGAGCTGTTTTCCTGAAGTTAAGCGCAAAAGGAGAAATCATGTTCTCACACAGGTGACCTGAATGAAGAAGCGCCCCTCCAACTCCCCATGGTTGGTTTGACCACCTCTGGGGTCACAAGCAGAAGGACAGAATTTGCTAGTACTTGTTTGTCCAATTTCCACAGAAATACTGGAATAAAGCCCAGCTGTTCAGGTATCTATGCAGCTCCCTAACTTCCATGCACTTCCTCAGTGCATGGAAATGATATCCTCAAAACAAACTCTGTTGGAATTCAGGACACCCCTCTGTCTGTCTTGGATGGCTCAAACCCTGCCGGGGGGGGGCTCAGAGACCTTGGCACAGAGACCAGGACACCTGTGACTTTGATTATGATCCATGGAAAAAATTACCAATTTTATATGAGGATCTGCAAGCCACGAAAGTCTAAGTAGAATAACAGTTAGTTTGTCACGGAGGTGAAAAATAGATTTTTGGGGTTTTTAGAATGGTGGTTCAGGAGGCAAGAGAGACTGGACACACCCAGATTCTTCTTTCTCCTTCTTCTTGGCCTCCACTTTCTACTGTGATGCTGGCACTTTTGGATCGGTTTAAGGTAGAATCCCACTGTCTAACACAGGTAACAGGTATTGGGAATTTATTGTAAATATTGTACATGTAGTTTTTAGTATAAAAGATTAGACTGCCCAAGGGCAGCCAGTGTTCCTCTGTCTGACCCGCTGAATGGACCTCAGCAGGCCAGAGAAAGAATTTTATAGATAAGAAACAATAAACAACCTTGAGAACGAAAACAGAAGAGATCTGACTCCTTCTTCAACTGCCAGGCTGGGAAAAGAGACTTTCTAACACACCTCAGGGTCACTCTGACCAGCAGAAGGCCCGAGAAAACTCTACTATATCAGAATCATGGTAGTCATCATCTGGAGAGAAAACCTTAAAATCCATACTACTTAGGTTAGAAAAAATGTGGGAGTTTGTTTTTTCCTCATAGTTCTACGTTGATTAAGGGAATTCAATTCATATGGGAACTCTTCCCTGTACTGAAAGAGAGCAGTGCTCTCCGTGTTACACCTTCAGCACAAAAAGCTATCATTTGCAACAATTTCTGCTGTGGTTTCAGATATGAGAAAGGAAAATAACTAAGAAAAGTAGCCAACAGATAGCAATAATAAAAAAAATACTCTTCTTTCAAGTTGAATTTCAGAAATATACACAAATGTGTATTTATCATGTGCAACCTACCATTTTTAGATTTTCCTGCCTCTTTTTCTCCCTTTGGCATTAGATCACTAGATTTGGGTTTTCAGGGTTTTCTTTGCAATTTGTCACTAAAATCCATAGTATTTAAAGGTAAAGCCTGCGATACCAACGTGAAAACCAAAACCAAACATAAAATAACATCAAAATCATTGAATCAAATACTACCTTTAATCAAATCTTTTAAAAGTACTTAATTCTGTTTAGAACAATGTTATACAAAAAATGAAAACAACTTTTACATCAGAGCAGTATGTGAGACAGTCTCATACCTAATATGCACATTATGATTATGGATCTATAGTTGGCCCACACTGGTTTTGGACCAGCAGCAAGGCCAACAAGATACTACAGGACATCCCAAAGAACACACATACATATATACAGAGAACTGTACTTGGAAAGCTTCACTGGTTTTATATTCTTTCCTCAGCTACGGGTCACACTAAAAGAAGCTGCATGAGACAAAAGGACTAATCCAATTCATGTTTTGTTGTTGGGGAGTTTTGTATGAAAATCTTACTTCATACAGGTTCAATGAAATATACACAACCAAGGAAATATTTTAGGGCCTATGTTTACCTATTTCACAGACATTGCAGTCTGCAAGATTGATCCCATCTACCCAGGCACTCACCTGCCACAGCAGCCTCAGCTAGCACCTTCAGAACCTCTTTTTCCATCTCAGGACTGTTACAGATCTCTTCCCAGGTTCCTTTAAATCCTTTTTTTCGGGCTAGTTCTGCGAGCTCCTTTTGATTTGGCACAACAAATCCAATGACATAAGAATGGAAACTGAGAAGCACAATGTACTTTAGTATGAATTTGGCAAAGTAAACAACTCTTCAAAAACAACATTTCAAGCTGGGGGTTTTACACTTCACACAGAGATATTGCTCTTAACAGCTGGCTTTTGTTCACCTGATAATCCTCCTGAAATACCACACAAATTACCTCTGCCTGCTTTAAAGTAAGTAGAAAGAGAAGCTACTTACCTTACAGTAACTGGATTGCTTCAAGGTGTGCTGTCCATATGCATATTCCACTGTGTCTCCTGCCCAAAGCTTTGGGAAGCAGCACCCACACGATGCCTCTGCTCATGTTTGGCAGCCCGGAATGGAGCCTGGTGTGAGGCCTCCCTACCTCAGTTTCCTCTCAACTGCAGAGTCCAGTTACTGTAGAGGAGTAGAGGACTGCAGTGAAGAGGGGTTGGACAGCAGGTTGTGGAATGAGCATATGCACAACACATCTCAAAGGATGCCTGCTTCTGTAAGGGAAGTGACTTCTCTTTCTCTTTCCAGTGATTGTCCATACACTCACTCTGCTGCTGGCATTCTTTGTCTCCTCCTGACATGCCAGAGCACAGGAAGATGTGATCTCTAAGTCTTTGGGCCCTGAAGCACAATTCACTCTGAAAACAGGTATTCAAAGCTTTTCTGATGGTGCAAAGTTTAGGTAAAATGTGCACAGAACTTCACACAGCAGCTTGACACATTCTAACAAAGCAGATCACAGAGCCAGAGTTGAAAGTGATCTCAGAAGAGCTCCTAATCAGTTCACCTGCCCTGAAGCAGGGTCAGATACATCAAAGAGATGTTTGTCTACATCTTGCTTAAACATCAGCAAGCACTAATGCCAACACTTCATCATTCATAGCATGGATAAGCTGCTGCTGATGGCAACTCCTGACTCTTCCTCTTTGAAATTTACCTCACACGTGTCAGATGTCCCCCTCTTTTCCACAGAAGCTATTTATTCATTTACAGATTTTCCTTGTCACCTTTTTAGTCTTGCTTCCTTTTCTAGGTTTATTTAGACATATCAGCAGTGCCCTTTCCTCCTAATTCATGCCATCACAAATCTCTGCCCAGACATTGCCATTTTATTCTGGATTCCTTTCATGAGGTCAGTCTCTTCAGATGGGCTACATGTGGAACTCAGACCCCTTAATACTTGTTAGAGCAAAGAGATCATTGTGCATTTTGTAGGCAATACCTCTGGTTATGCCTTTTGCCTTCTTATAACAGTATGGCACTTGTGGACTCATGTCAGCTCCTACAGAATTGCTACCAGCTGGTGGTTCTCACCCTTAACTTCTGCAGTTTATTTAGCTGTAAGTATAATCTACAACTCCTCTCTTTCAACTTACTGCTACTTTCAAGCAAATCTCCACCTAGCCAAGCCTGCTCTGAATTCTCATCCTATCCTCCACTGTGGCTTTGGTTCCCTTCCATCTTAACTATCTACAGAATTATTAAATCTTTTCAACTCTCACCAGACAGATCATTAATACAAAATATGGAAACTCAGCCCTAGCATGCAGATTACTGTACTACATGCTTTAAGGTCTTCAAGATACTTTGAAGATACTACCTCTAAATATGCTTTTGGTTACTGCACAGTACAATTTCCTCCTTTGTTACTGGAATGAACCATAATGGGCATCTGACAGGAGTTGAGAAGACAGCACCAACGTCCATTATAAACACAGACTTCCCTGGCAGCACCATCACAAGCTTTGCCTGCCAGCACAAAACCATTCTCATTTTTCTCTTCCTGAAAATGTATTAAAGGATGATTTCAGATTAGCCTCACTATCACTACTGCCTGCATCTCACCTTCTGCCTTTGCCTCTGCCCCATTTCCCCCGTGCACACTCATGCTGTACTCTGCACTAAACCCCTTGTTTCACTCCTGGTTCCTATAGTCTTTTGACATGCTCAAGATCATGTCCTGCAATATCACCAGTATCTCCAGGGATAAACAGTACACAGAAGTAATCAGTTGGCTGGGTAAGCATCAAACTTTCTGTTCATCTAAAATTCAGCTCCTTCAGTAGAAGTGTACTTGTTTTGGACAAACAGGTTCATCCAATTTTTTTTTTCTTGGAAAGAACACCTTGCAGCTCTCAGTTCCTGGTACATGTAGTTTTTCATTCTGTGCCACAAAGTTAAATCTTCACTTGTTGCAGTTCAAATGCTAAAGCACTGTTTTGTCTTGAGAGTTATCCTGAAGGTACATCTTCCCTCTCGAGCAGTCACTGCCCTGTCACTGCTCCTTATGCTGATCCTTTGTACTTGGTACCTTTGTCTTGGAAGTGATTTTCAGTGGAAATTTTCAGACTTTGGTCCTCAAGATCTCCTTAGTCATCTCTTACATGATGAAAGATTTTACCGAAACGTCAGTCCTACACTAGGCAGCCTCATTCCCTTGCTGTGCTTACGGTGCTACCCACGTAAGGCTCTCAGACCTGTGGTCAGAAACATATTTAATGGCACTACACATAGATACCACTGTTTCTATTCTGTAAAGCCTGGTTCTCACCTCCCTGAGATTACTGGGGACTTCCTCAGTTTTTTTGCCATGTTTGTCCATTCCTCAGGTAACTGAGCTACTCATTTTCCTGACGTGATGCTTAAAATCCACTTCATGTGTCTTGGATGGGTGAAGTGTTGATAAAGCAGAAGGAGTCTCCCCTGATAGAGCTCTAATCACCATTCCTTTCAGCAAATGTTTTTATTCCTTATCTCATTTATTTTGTCTGAAGTCAATACAGCTTTTGAAGTGGCAATATCATGCAAACAACTCTGATGCTCTACTACAGAGTTCAGAGGAGCTTTGCACCCTAAATTTTAAGGTCAAATCAGATATTCAACCCATTTGTACAAGTCTGCCCTCCTTGTCCTTTTGCACGTGGGAGACAGAATAGCTACAAATAAAGGACTCCTCCTGCATACAAGATCACCCAGGCCAAGTATTAGGAGAGACAGGATCCAAGAAATGTCACAGGCACTGTTACAAAACCTCTCTGAGCTCACACTGCTGAGGTGAGCCCATGCCCACAATGAAATGTGCATATGGACAACCATTCAGGGACTCTATTACATGGCTACTCAGGCCACATTACACACATAACAGTATTAAGAAAGTAAAGCAGCAACAAAAAACCCAATCTGGAATGTCCTGTCTTGTTTGTCCTTGGTCTGGACTCTTGTTTGTAAGTTACCTTTAAAAATTGCTCATAGGTTTTCCTGTTTTTAAGTAATAGACAAGACATGGTCTATCAGAGTCAAGTGTCTGGCTGACAAGTGCATTTTAGTTTCCAATGTTATGTTGGCCTGGCAAAATTAACACAAAAATTTGGTAGCATAAGTCCAACAGTGAACTGCAATCCTGGAAGAAAAGAAATCACATGTAGGAAGCTCCTTCTCCACAGATTACAGAGGGTGCTTGGAACAGCTGCAGCTTCAGGCTGTCAAAGCCAGCAAATGTGAGACTCACACAGTGAGTCCAAACCACAAATAAAGCTTAAAAGAACAGAAATTTCCTCAGCAGTGGCTGGCTCAATGTATGCCAGCCTACTGATCCAAAGCTGTCAACTGCAGTTACAGAATGACTGCACAAACCCCCCAAAGTTACAGAGAACCAGGTGAACAAACCCCAAGTTAATTGTTTTATTTATTACCACTGAGCAATTCTCTGGTATGCTTATCCTGCCTTCTTTCAAAGTAAAGCTGGGCTTTTTGAGACATTAATGGGAGTCAGAATATTTCTGATCATTCAGAAGCTCCAAAATAACTTTCCAAACATCAGTATCAAATGTCAACAGGAAACAAAGACCACCTGAAGTATATTTATATGTGTAAGAGCTAAGAAACTCTAGAAAGAGAAACTTAAGACATGTTTGAGCCCTTATCACCTCATTTATTAGTACACATATAAAGCAAATAGAAATGACATTTGACTGTCATCTATTGTGTGTTTGCACAGTGTTTAGACTGTGGTTTTTCTCAAGCTTCAAGGTGGTGTACTGCAGGGGTAAAGAAATGTAAATTTAATTCACAAGCCAGCTACTGTGCCATTGGTGCTTTTTTCTCCCACCTTCCTCTGAAGTACCCCAGTACTTCCTCTGAAGGACAAATGACAACTAAACACAGCAAGGAACAAGGCGCCCTAGGGCTTCTAAAGGTAACAATCTCAAAGTGCTTGAGTGATGCCTGCAATTAATGCAATAGAGCTCAGCTGCTTTTCAGATAGGGGAAGGGGGAATGTAAGACTCATCATTGGTATTTCCCAATAAATGATGACAACAAATGAGAAGGGAAAAATAAAAATTTGATTTCAGATCTTTTAGTTTTGATAGTTATTCCATTGTATTATAAGTAAAAGCCTTTTTTTAGCTGATTTTAAAAAATTCTACACATTGAGCAGCAAAAAAAATTTGTTTCAAGAGGACAAAACAGAGCAGTAACAAAGTATAAGGTGCTCTTACCTGCTTGCATATGCACAAATATTATCCACTAGTGGGAGATTCTTCAGAGCTGCTTCTACTTTGCCAAGAGAAACATACTCCCCTGCCTGCAGCTTTACAAGATCCTTTTTGCGATCTATCAAGGAAGAAAGGAATTAACTGCTAATTACAAAATAGAAAACTCAAACATTGATTTAACAGTTTCTGAAATGCTTATTTAAATATACAAACTGACTCATGTTTGGTGAATGTACCAGAAACCTTTAATGTTAGGTTTCTAGAATGCATTTTATCAGTCTGTCCCAACAAAATTAGGGATATTACAATTCCATGCATTTTCTGCCTTCAGAACAGCATTTCCTATATGACAGCACCATCATGTGCATGGAAGACAAATAGGACTATGCAAAGGCACTGCTGGTCAGGAGCACACATATTGTGCTGTCTGGCCCAGACCCATCAAGCAAAATATGCACCATTTGGTGGCATTATGTTATTTATTTCAGGCTAAATCCATATTTAAAGAGCAATTGCTCACCTTTCACTTGAAAAACAACAATAGGAACCAAAAAGTATGCCTAAATTACTTGAGGTTATTGAACACAACCATACAAAATTATACAATATAAGGCAGCTTATCTACTCAGTTAGCTTGTATTTAACTCCCTAATTACTACCCAGTCTCACTAACTTAGGGAGTCAATGTTAAGACTGTTTCAAAGTGAAACAAAATTCAGCTTTTAAAGCACACAAACAAGGTTACATTAACATATCAGAACTTCTCTGGGATACATGGGAAGGGTTTAGATGGCATGACAAGATATGGAGATTTTTTTTTTTCTTACTGTATTTCACAGCCCTGAAAGATGTGTGTGTATATGAATATCTATACATATACATGTCCCCTGAATTTATTAACTCACCAATAATTTTTAGACATCCATCATGATGAAACTCTCCAATGTCTCCAGTATGGAGCCACCTCTGCCCATTCTCATCAACAGTGAAATCTTTTTTGGTTCGTGCTTCATTTTTGTAGTAGCCCACAGTCACATTCTGCCCTCCAATAAGGATCTCACCTCTAGGATATGGTTTATCAGTGTTGTAATATCCACCTGGAAGGATGGGGAGTTTTATTAAGTTTATGTGAACGAAAATATATTCCAAAGGAAAAATTTGTGCCATCCTTCTGGCAGGAGTAATGTGTTTTATCAGTTTCACACAGGCTCAAATAAAACCAAATAACTTTGCCTCATAGTTTAGAGAAGAAAAAATCCATAAGTTTTTGCATTAGTCCAAAACACACTTAAGTATTATCTATTTCTACTCCACAGTACACAAAAGCCTACAGTAAAAGGAAGTACTGAAACGCATTTCAAAATTTATTATATGTATTTCACAATATATCCATTAAGCTTCTATTCTACATGCCAATTTTAATGACTTAAGAATAATATTATGAAGACTATTTTAAAATAATTTCTTAATGGCAACTGAAGGTACCATGCATACTACCCAGTCAAAATGCCACTTGCATTGATAACTTCTGTCTGGATATTTCCCTGTTTACAAATTACTGAGGAATTTATTTTACGTTTCTTCTCCCCAAGAGCAAACTTTTATAGGCAAAAGTAGCATTTAAAATGCAAACAGCCAAGAAATAGTCTTTAATTACTGCTACGGAGGAAAGCCCAATAGAAAAACATACTTCTTAAAGAAACAATTAAATCATAAGCAGGAATTCTCACCTTCTTCCCAGTTCATTAACTTGATTTCACAACAGACCAAAGGTGCTCCCACTCTTCCTGTAGTGTAGTCCCAAACTAGAATTTAAATAAATGCATTTTCAGAAAAACAAAAAAACAGAGATAGCCAGAAAAAAAATATTTTGTTGTTAATGCATCCTGCTATTATGCATTAACTGCTATTTATTTCTGAACTTTAATTCACAGAACCAAACCTCCAAGAAAACCCAACCAAATTATCAACAGAACACAGATAAAATTCTTATCCCACTAGGAGAGTAGACAGCTGTAGTAACAGATACCCTCAGTATCTAAAAGATGACTGAAACCATTAGGTTCTGTTATATGAAATTAAAATCTGGTGCAGGAAGATTTTAATTCCTGACACCTCAATATACTCAACAAAATTTGAAAAAAATTATTATTGATGTCATAAGTGTACAACAATGCCAAGATGCACGCACGCAGCTCTACCATTCATTTTCCACGTGGGTCACCTGTTTCAGCACAATGCATCCAAATCAGCACTGCCATTGCTTGATGCATTTTTGGGAACACCTGATTGCAGGATTCCCCAATGACATTTGGTGGCACCAGGAGAGGAGCAGGTGGGTAGGCCTGAGCCGTGCAGGGCTGAGCATGGGCACTGGTGCTCAAGGGAACAGTGCCACCCACCTTGGGTGATGGTGCCAGCCCTGACGGACACAGTGCCACCCACCTTCAGTGACAGTAACACTGCCACTCACCTTCAGTGATGGTGCCAGCCCCAAGGGCCACAGTGCCAACCAACCTTGGGTGACGGTGCCAGCCCTGAGGGACACAGTGCCACCCACCTTCAGTGACAGTGCCAGCCCTGAGAGCCACAGTGCCACCCATCTACAGTGATGGTGCCAGCCCTGAGAGCCACAGTGCCACCCACCTTGGGTGATGGTGCCAGCTCTGAGTGCCACTCACCTTCGGTGATGGTGCCAGCCCTGAGGGACACAGTGCCACCCAACTTGGGTGATGGTGCCAGCCCTGACGGACACAGTGCCACCCACCCTGGGTGATGGTGCCAGCCCTGAGGGACACAGTGCCACCCACCTTCAGTGACAGCGCCAGCCCTGAGGGACACAGTGCCACCCACCCTGGGTGATGGTGCCAGCCCTGAGGGACACAGTGCCACCCACCTTGGGTGATGGTGCCAGCCCTGAGTGCCACTCACCTTCGGTGATGGTGCCAGCCCTGAGGGACACAGTGCCACCCACCTTGGGTGATGGTGCCAGCCCTGAGAGCCACAGTGCCACCCATCTACAGTGATGGTGCCAGCCCTGAGAGCCACAGTGCCACCCACCTTGGGTGATGGTGCCAGCTCTGAGTGCCACTCACCTTCGGTGATGGTGCCAGCCCTGACGGACACAGTGCCACTCACCTTCGGTGATGGTGCCAGCCCTGAGGGACACAGTGCCACCCACCTTCGGTGATGGTGACAGCCCTGAGAGCCACAGTGCCACCCACCCTGGGTGATGGTGCCAGCCCTGAGGGACACAGTGCCACCCACCTTGGGTGATGGTGCCAGCCCTGAGGGCCACAGTGCCACCCACCTTCAGTGACAGCGCCAGCCCTGAGGGCCACAGTGCCACCCACCTTGGGTGATGGTGCCAGCCCTGAGGGACACAGTGCCACCCACCTTGGGTGATGGTGCCAGCCCTGAGGGACACAGTGCCACCCACCTTCAGTGATGGTGCCAGCCCCAGCGGACTCGGTGAGGCCGTAGCCCTGCCCCACGGGGCAGCAGAAGCAGATGTTCATGAAGCGCTGCGTGGCCGCCGAGAGCGGGGCGCCGCCGCACAGCAGCACGCGGATCTTCCCGCCCAGCAGCATCCGCACCTTGCGGAAAATAAGGCTGAAAGGGAAAAGGACATCTTGGAGCTTCAAGACAAAGCAAGAGAGAACCTAGTTTTGGATCTGAACTGAGTTTTCACTGTCTTCAAATACACTATGACTTCCAAAGAAAGCCTTGAAGGAGCACATGGAAGTTTTCAGAAATACAGTCACAGATTTTTAAGATGGTTTCCATGTTCTAGTTTGAAGATGGGTTAAATGTTTGAGAACACAGATTTAATGAAGCAGTAAAGTTGCATGATTTTCTCTTCAAAATACTTTAAGTTGTATAAATTTTGCAAATCCACTATCCTTTACTCTCATAGAAACCCAGAGTTAGACTCAATGGTCCTATGGGCTCTTTCTAATTTGAGGTATACCATCATTCCCCTCTGTTAAAATATGGAGTCTGCAGTTTTCTGTAGGAATAAACTTCTACCCAAAAATTGTATAAATCTATTATTAAATTCCTGATGAAAATTCAATAAATGTAAATTTTCAATCAGTTTCAAGTTAAAGAACACTCAAATTGTATCAGTAAGTAAATCCATCACACCAACTCCTGATTTGTTGTTTCAATTTACACTCAAGTACAGATTTGTTCATGTTCAAAGTGTCACAATAAAATTAAGAAAAGCACAAGAAAATCAAATACTGCTCCTGTGGTAAGACTTTGATTTTTTGGTGCCATTACAAAGGAAGTTAACATTACCTGTCACAGAGTGGGGTAGTGTAACCTTTGGAAATCTGTTCCATTTTGTAGTTGTAGGCCAATATAAATAGATTCCTCTGGAAACTGGTCATTTCATTCACTTTATTCATGACGTTTTTGTAGATTCGATCCATGATTTCCTAGTACATAAACATATGAACTTTATCTCAAAGAAACAGAAATCCTGAATTCAGTACAGCAAAAAGAAAACACCATCTAGAAATTCAAGTGAGCTTCAGCTGACAACCCCATTCCCAGGTTCCTTCCTCTTCCCTTGCTAAGGGACAGCAAGATGTTCATGGAAAGGAGAAAAGCAAAGTCTGGGCAGGAGCAGCAGTTAACCCCCAGCTGCCAACTCTATTCCACTCTTTCACTGTAACAAACTAGAAATGACTAATTAAAATGGGAATTGACTCTCTCTATCTATCTTAACTTTGAAAAAGTTTGATACTCGTGCAATGATTGTTTATCTCCAACATTCAAACAAGTACCAAAATCATTATTTTAAGGCAGCTTAACATCAAAGATTCTACTTTTTCTATTTAAATGTTAATAGTATTAATTTTGTTGCTAAAAATGGAATTATATATTATATTTTAAAAAAGGTTTGAAAAATAATTCATCCTTCAGTTACTTACCGGAACTGCTGCCATTAGAGTTGGTTTAAGTGTAGTAACATCCCCTTTGCTTCCTTTCTTTATTTTAGAAGACTAAAGTGAAGAACAAGTTTACTAGCAGACACATTCAAGATCTTTAACATCAGAAACAAAATTTTTACTGTTTTTAAAGAAATATTACAAAGATCTGGTGTAAGTAATTTTTTTAAATTTCTTTTTTACTTTACTGTAAGGACTTACACCATACCTGGTCAGCCAGTGTCTGAGGGGAGGAGTAACCGATGCGGCATCCATGAGACAGACACACGAGCTCAGCACTCAGCTCCAGAACATGGGCAAGGGGCAGGTACCCAATATAAATGTCCTTCTCCCTGCAAAGAATTTTTATTTTAAAATATAGCTTTATGCTGCATCACTGGAGTCCTCAGATGCATCATTAAGCCAAATTCATGCAAAGTTTACTGCAGAAATGAGAAAGCAGAAAATGCCTTTGAGCTTGAGAGCATATTTCAAATCACATGGGTTTTGTTTCAAGAGTTGCATACTACACACTGTAGGTTTTAGGCATAAAAAAGGGTGATTGTTACTCTGGTTACTCATCTCAAGAAAATTAACCATGTGTTAGAGTTGCAAAGGCAACTGAATGGATGAGATTAAAAACTGCACCAAACAGAAAGAAGCCACAAGATTTAAACATTAACCAAGGCAAGCACTGCTTAGGGAGGCTTTCAACCACTCTAGTGCAAGGTGGCCTCACAGGTTTTTGTGTCCTGGTCTTGCCCACATACCAAAGAGGAGAGAACAAAGAGTACATGAAGTAGTACCATGTCATTTAGTGCAGTGCTGGAAGATGCTCAGATGTCAGTGCATAGTATCATGTGTCACAGACATAGCAATATAAAACAGTTCATATTTTATCCAATAATTAATGTAAAATTAAAAGCAACTACATGACTTCTTTATTTGCTGGTCAGTTGGTACCCACCCCAGATTTGGGATCCTCTCAGCCATTCCAGTTATCCCAGCAATGATGTTGCAATGGGAGATCATAACTCCTTTGGGAATTCCTGTGGATCCACTTGTGTACATGATCACTGCGATATCCGAGGGCACAGGCCTGGATGGCTGCTTGTTTCCTGCAAGTTGTTAAAAAAGAGGATGTGTGATGTGTGGAGAGCCTCTCAAGCTGGGAGATCTGACACACTGACACATTTCAGCACTGCTGCAATACAGCACCACAGGACTCATGCTATTACATTTTGCTTAAAAGAGATTATGGTCAAGCTTAAGTGCCTTCACAAAGAGTAGGAACTTGGCACTAACTGAGCAATACTTTGACTGATTGTCCTTATCCACCACAACAGTTTTCCTATTGTTTTTCCCCTGCTCCTGCAGTGGAGAGAAAAAAAGGCAGAGCTTTGGCTTGTCCAAAGCACCACTGAGCATCCCTGCCTGGGAAGGTTCACTGCTTCCACCCCTCTGTGCCTCACGTGCTCCCTGGCACGGAACAACACCTGCAGCAATGCACTGCTGAGCCAACCTGAGGTCCCACCTCCATGAATATTTTAAACAAGTTCAACAGCTTTAATTGGATTAAAGTGCTTTTTAAATACTTGTGCTGAGAGCAAGAAAATACAAAAACTACTGTGCTTACTCAGAGGAAACTGCATCACACACAGTGCATGAGGCACAGTGCACACACTGAATGAGAAGCATGAAAGCAACATTTAATAGTTTTCCACTCACTGAATCCTGCCTATCCTGCACAATAAACAACACAGAGGAAAAGAAACACAAGCAATGGCTCATCTACTTAATATTAATTGGACATGCTTGACCATAAACAATTCATGATAGCATTTCAGAGTTTATGAATGGTTAACTTGACAAAGATAATATTTCTTTATTGTAGTGCAGAGTATGTGATATTTAAAGATTAAATACCTTTTTACACAGCACATAGATTAAAAAACTTCAGGGAGCTAATGAATTACAGCCAAAATTTTTCTGCTGGTGTTGTATTAAACTGTTTTAGTAGTATATGAAACTGGTATATCAAATAGGAAATGCATCTTCCAAAGAAATTGAGAGGTCATGATGCTTGGACCAAATATGCCATTCTCCTGAACATCAAAATCAGATGGACTAACCACCCCCCCACTCCTAAAATACAATCCAACATTCCTGAGCCTGCAGTAGTTAAGAGATTCTGAAAACACAAAGAACAAAAGAAAGCAATTACTGAATATATTGAAATTCCTTAAAATATCAGGATAAGCAGCCCTTCAGAACCAAGAATAAAAATTTCTTAAGATTACAATTAAAATAAGTAATAAAATTCTGAATTAGAGTTCTAAAAATATTACATAGACCAGAAATAGACTTCAATGAATTTACACAGAATGATGCTTTCAGAAACAGAATAAGTGACCAAGTTCTATCAGATTCAAATTACTATTTTACATTTTGCTATCTGTGAATTTTACAAAACTTAATGGCAACAAATTACTTATTTCTTTTGTTATAAAATACACAATGATCTTCCTTCTGTGCCCTGAATAACCTGGTTTTAATACATCTGATCATAAGAACGCTTTTCAAGTTTCTATCCTGAATTAATTGCTTATTCTAAAAACTACCCTTCAACCTGTGACACTTGATCGTGGAGTCCGTTTTTACTCTGTTGAAAAACAAAAAACAAACTTACACCCCAAAATCCAACCACCCACAATGAAAATAAAACAAACAAAACAAAACAAGAAAAAAAAAACCCACATGGATTTTATTTAAAGGAAAAGGACATAAGAAAAGGTTAAATCTGCAGAATTTTGAAATCTGCAGTTTCTTCAAGCTTACTCAACAGGGTCAAATTAGGGCACCAAGAGAGATGGTCTGAAGAGGAAGAACCTACCAGTGTCTGCCTTGGCCCCCATGGCTTGCACAGATGCCATGGTGTGAACAATGACCCCCTTGGGGAACTCTGCCCACGTTGTGGGTTTGCCATCCACTGTAATTATGTGTCGCAGTAGTGGAACTTGAGAAACAATTTCCTGTGAAAATGAAAAATTGGTTCAGAAATTAAAAATTTGTTTTATGCCAGGAAGTAAAAAAAAACCCCACAAAACCAAGAACAAAAACCTCCATGCTATCTGCTGCACACTTTTTAAAAAGCACTAACATAAAACATCTCAGAATTTTAAGGGATAAACCTGCCAAGATCAAATAGCTGCAAAGCTCGAAGTTTTCCAATTTTAAGTCAAAAAACTTCACCAAGCATTTACTGATTTGCATTTTATTTCATGAGAACCCCACAAATAAGACTACAGTGATTTATAGACATAATTGACTTTCTCTTCCCATAGAACATAGAGAAAAATTGGTGATACTGAGCTCACAATAATTCTTAGGCTGCTCCTTAGTTATTATGCTATTTAAAATAAGCAACAGCTAGCAAAAATATTGAAAATTACTAGTTATGCATTTCAAGCAAAACATGAGTTCAAAGACATTAATCAGTTTTTTCATGGAAGAAGAGATCACCACCTATAGCAGAGCAAACACATTCTCTTACTGCAAGCTGAAATAAATGTGCATGGCATAGATACTGTCATTGTAGTAACTTCTTGAAAAAGTTTGGGAAATTCTCATTCAAATTTCCACAGCAGCACAGTTTTTCATTAAAACAATTTCCTTAACTGAAAGGTCCAGTTTCCCCAAAACACACAATGATGAAGCTCATGCAGATTAGTTGTTCCACTTGGGTATTCCATCAGGGTCAGTAAGTCAAAAAAGTTCTTTGACTGTGCTAATGGTTAGTGAGCTTTTTCTCCCCTGCATGGAAAAACAGCTCTAACTCTTTAAAAACCCATCTTTAGACATAAAAATCATTCTCTGCTGAGAAAACATCTGATAATAAGCCAGGAGCATGATCACAGTTAGCTCTTTATACATTTTTCTGCTCTTCCCATTGTTACATTTATAGGCACTAAATCCACCCAGAAACCACAGCAGTTTCTTGTAAAGGTGTTTTTCCAGGCAGCACTCCAGCTCTGCAATACTGCAAATTGCTCATTCTCCAGCCACTGAGCAGCCTACAACCCACTAAAAGCAAACTACCACTTTCTGTACATGAACAGAGATACATAAATCTTCTTCCCAAAGTGTCTGCCTTATGGAAAGGCAATAAATCATTGCTCTGTACAATGGAACCAGGCCATTTAGAATGGTGAACAGACACACTGCAAAGAGATAGCCAAAGAACAGCTTTCTGACCTTCAGTTTTGTTTGCATCAGCTCTTTACTGGTAATGATGGTGGTCACCTCTGTCTCGTTCAGCCCATGAACTATTGCTGGGCCTCCCAGCGTGGCGTACAGGGTAACAACTGAAACACAAAACACGGCAAATGGTCAGTCCCTGGGCCACATTTTCAAGTGTAGTTCACAAAAAAGAACTGAGATTAATCTATTCCAACTTAGGCAACACAGTAAAAATATTTATCAACTCAAAGATGGGACAGTTTTGCATTTAAAAAGCCTCTTAACATCTGAATTTAAATACAGTGTGATCTTCAGTTACTCCCAGAAGGAATAATGAACAGCCATTCTCTATGTGACTGTTTACTCTTTTCCAAGGTCTAATTAGAGGTCCCAAAACCACATCACCTTATGAAATTCTGCTGGATCTACTTTCATACTGTCACTGCCTTTACCATTTGAAAAAGAGGCAAACCTTCTCAGCTTAATCACTGTCTTACATTCCTCTGGCACACAGGAAAGAAACAGCTTTCATCCATGTGACTTCTCTTTCCAGAATTCACATCCTCTCTTACTAACCTTTTACAATTGACTGCTAATAACAAATTATTACAGCATGGTGATATGTGTCATCAGCAGAGAATTCTCACATAGAAATAAATCTGTGACTAGCTTGTTCTGCCATCTATTCAAAATAATGTAATAAAGGTTTAATCATCACAGTCATTAGACCTTGAACTGACATCAAGAGAATCATACAGAATAGCAAGAAAGAAAATATTTAGAAAATTGACTAAAAGAAAATTTGTTTTCTGTTTGTAAGGTCAGCTCATTAGTGAGCATGTTACAAAATGATTAAATATTATTTTCAAGGTGATAATATGAAATTTCCTGGAATTTTCAATGGAATTGAATGACGAGAGACCAGAATAGACCAAGGAAAAAAAAGGCAGCCAAAAAGTGAAGAGAAGTATTGCTCAAAAAACAAAAAATTCTATTTTCCAAGCATAACACTAAACAGGGACATCTCATAAAAGCTCTAAGATCAATCAACACAATCTATAATTATAGTATTCTTGATGGGAGTTTTGTCACATCAGGTATCTGAATATTTTCTGCTTTTTGGTCTGTATATAGCTGAATATTTAAAGAATGTAATTATGAAAATAAGACAACCCATTGTACATTAGGACTGTGATCACTGCAAAGATTAAAAATTAAAATTAAATAAAGTTTTGTTGTATTTTATTTTAGTATTTTAAATCCAAGGAGTTACTAACCCAAAACAACTCAAAAGCAGTTTTCTTACACAGAAAAGTAAATAGCTGACCTCTACTTATTTTTTTTCTTGTTAAAACAGCCCATCATAGTTCAGAACTGTTGCAGGGCAAATGCACATGCACTGTGTTTTCTTTAATTTGGTGGGAGCAAAGTCCAGAAGAGTGCCTCTCCTCGTTCCCACGAGCTCTCTCTCCTTGCTGCAGTGACCCCTGTTATGTAAACACGTAGCAGAAATTCAGCTGCCCCGAGCCAAGGAGCAGAACTGAGCTGACAACACCGCCCAGAAGGCAGAGCATTATCTCGGGAATAACCACGGGGTACTTAATTACTCATCTGCAAATAAGTGCATTAAGACACTCATAGCTATATGACAGAGCCAAAGGGAAAGAGAGACCATTTATATGATGGTGCACTGATGTCATGGAGAGAGCAAAACTGAGCATGACTCATCTCTGAAATCCTCCCTTCTCCACACTGGCACCTGAAAGTTTTTCAGGCAAATCTGAAAGTTTTGATAGTTTTTTTTCCTCTCCTCATTCTCTTGAAAATGTACTGAGAAGGGATTATTTTTTATTCACCTTTATACATGCAACAGTACAAGTAAGTCTTTGTTATCTGACCAAAGGTTTGACAAAAAGAAAATCTCCAACAGCACTAAATTTGCCAGCTTGTAGAAAAAGACAAAACTTTACCCTAAAGAAACAAACAGAACTTTAACAATTTATTTCAAGGTAACTGGAATGTTAAACTGAGTACTTCAGCACCCACCATACATCAAGAATAAAAAGCAAAATGCACCTTTAAAGGCTTCAGCCAAATTCACTTCTGACAAAACCACTTCTGCTCAAGCATGATTGAAAAAGGAACCTAACTTCTTCTATTCCACCATTTGGCTATGCATTTTTGTGTTTTATCTGCCTCCTCTGGTGAAGAGCTGTTCACACACATGAAGAGGTACTCGGGAAGAAAATCTGTTTTCATGCTAGTACTACTTCTTCTATCTCTGATCTAGCAATCCCACTCCACCTCCTGCAAATATAAGACTTAGAGAACTTCAGAAAAAAACAGATCTAAAATCAAGCAAGTATTTCTAACCATAAAATAACTTGTTTGTGCAAGTAATCCATAACAAACATCATTTTAATTCTGTAGTGCAAAAGGCATTCTCTCCAACACTATGTACAAGGCAGATGAACCTGCTCTGGGCCCACTCCATCAGACTGAATGCATCTCACATTTTGAAACACACTGAAAAACGCCAACACAAGCCATTTAGCAATGTCTTGCCACTATTACTGTTTCAACATCATCTGAATCTCCCAATTTGTCCTGCACGCTGCCTGTGGACACTGCACAGCTCTCTCCTCATCTGCCAGCACGAGTCAGCCAAGTTCACAGAAGATGACAGAGCTTAGCTGCTGAACCCCACGTCAGAGTGTGTGCCGAGGCACGTCGCAGCAAGGGGATTTAAACCTCTAATCCAGCAACCCAAAAACACTCACATACCATTCTACTCACAACATCCAGCCCCTAGCTCAGATTTCTCCCCTCAAATTACAAATCTCCCTGGGATTTGTCAATGTGCTTCAGATCCAAAGGAAAAAAAAAATGATACAAACCCTCGCATTTTATTCCCAGGACAGCCACTAGGAATGTGACAGATCCCAAAAGTGATAAAAGGAAACTGGCACAGAGACATGTAGTTTAAAAGCACACAGGCATCTTATGTGAGAAGAGTCTGTGCAGTTCTCTGCTCTGGTTGGCAGGCCAGCAGCATTCACCCACCGAGGAACCAACCAAAACCACCACCAGTTTAGGTGGGAAGGCACCTGCAAAGATCACACACCACCATTGCAGCAGAGTGCTCAGAGCCATGGCCAGTCTGGGTTTTATGGCTCTCCAAGGATGGAGATTGCACAACCAAATCTTATTGAAAGGGTAAATGTAGCACAGGAGGGAAAAGGCCAAAGCCTGTGAGGAACAGCAGTTTCTGGCATGCTCTGAGGGACAAGATGTGTCCCCCTGAGAGCATCCCAGAACCCAGCCAGGCTGGGCTTAGTTAGGTAAAGGACATTAAGGAGGGATGATAAAACAGACATTTAAACAGCTACAGCACACTGAGACCAGCATTCAGTACATTCCTGACCAAAGAAAAAGGCCCAACCAAAATCCAAATTGAAGAACTGACAAAATATCCAGATAAAACAAAAATTGCAGGCACAGATGAAGGTTTGACGTCAACTCCTGAAATTGAGTCAATGAATTCATGTGTGATTTTTGTTTGTTAGTTTTTCAGAACTTGGGAATCTGTACTGATTTGAGATTAAAAGAAAATAAACCTCTCACAAATTCATTGAGCAAACTATACTTACCAAAACCATTCTTAACATCTGCCAACAGATACAGGTTTCTCTAGTCACCAAAGCAAAAGGCTACAAAGTGCACAGTTTCCACATTATGCAGTATTTTTTTAATTTGAAAACTTTAATGCTCTCTATAAAATCTAGATAAAGTTTTCTTAGTACAAAAAGCAAAGCAAGAAAGAGTTTCATTTTCAGACTGTGAGGCTGAAAGCCACAAAACCTTCAGGGAAGACAGGTACTCACGCTGGTAGTTGCACATAAAGCAGGCCTGGGCTGCAATCATCCACTCAGCTCTGGTCTCACAGAAGATAGCAATGTTGGTCTTTGGCTGCTGACCCAAGACTGCTAAGCCATTTCCAAAATTAACAGCTTTAATGTATACATCTTCATAAGAAAGCCAGGTGTACTTGCCAAGGATGACCTAATAAGAACAATAAAATCAATTTAGAAAATGAAAATCCTTAACACATGTCCTACAACATCTTCACCCAAGTGAAGAATCCACGGATGTTTGAGTAACATGTGCTTGAATTGTAACTGCAGTTTATTCAAGATAAAGATGACATTTTTTCTTGCCAAAAGCTACAGGGCCTGTGGAAGTTCCAACATAAATACCATATCACAACGCAATATCTCCATGCGCGTTACCACCTCAGTTTCTATTTTCACAGAAGGGAAAGCACACAATTCCCACCATCTTTTGTAGCTTCAGGAGCCCTCTGAAAGACTGGTTGGTTACCTGGCCCACATACCTCTACTTTTTAAATAAGTTTGGTTTATGTAAAGGATGGGAAGCACTAGTTAGCACAGTACATTCTCTATATTTGCTTTCTTGGAGATGTGGGCTACAATTCTACACAAATACAACACTCAGATATTCATTAAAGAAAAAAAACAAACAAACTAAACTTGAAAAGGGAAACTGGAATCCAAAAAGCAGTATCTCCACGAGCCTTGAGTCAGAAATTGTGAAATCCCTTTCCCTTTGTTCTGAAACAAATGTCAAGGGGATGAGCAGTAATAATTTTGCCCTTTTTTACTGTTGAACACAAGCAGGACAGAAGACAGCATAGGAAATGACTGGCAAACCTCAGTTCTGAGAAGTCATGTAGAATATATTATGCAATCTCACTTTTCCATATGGGAAAGCTGGTGCACAGTAAAACTGGATTTGAATTTACAGGTTCCTTGTATGCACTTGCACCTTGCAGCACTATTTCCTTACTGACTGATAGGACATTTCTTTGAGACCAACCTAGAAACTTTCATATGTAGATACAGTATGAAGAAGTTTTATACTGAAAATCTATACTTCAAATTATATCCCACCCATCTATTTATATAAGCACATTGACAATTCTGAAAAACAATTTATTAATCAAGTATTTCAGACATGTTTTTTACAAAGCATTAGTAATAAATGCAAGCAAACACTACAAAAGCTAGAAAAGCTAGAACTAGAAAAGCTCCTTCATTCTTTTTTCCGTATTTCATTCATCAATGGGAACTAAATCTCAAACTTTGAGCTGTCAAATCAACAATTTTTGACATGCAACTACATTTCTAATGAGTCTGTATTTCCACATCTGTTTCTTTAATAAAACATATTTTAAAATCTCTCTCAAACTCTAACAGAAAAATAAAATTTAGTAGATTTCCTTTGTTAAAATTTTTCCAAACTGTTTCCTAGTTAACATTAGTTGTAACAATGCATTTTACCTACTACAGCTTCACTGCATACTGCTCATTAACCTACTTATTTAGTAGGACAAACAGGTACATGTGCAGCTGCTTGGAATTTCATAAATGCCTTTGTGGGAAAATATCATTTAACAAGCCCAACAAACAACATTTGTCAATAACAGCAATATATAGCAATTCTACCAGAAAATACAGATTTCTCACACAAATATCTGCTCAGTTTTTCCTGGTTTATTTCCAGAAGCTCTGTTTCAGTGGCAAACAGGCTGTTTCAAAACCCAAAACCTGGGAGTCCCAGGATATTTCTGGTGTGGAAAACTCTCATTCCAAAAAAAAATATTGCACCTCTTCCTGTCCATACAAATTTTGGTAATTTGGAATTTAAATTCCAATTTGGGATTTTTTTTTCCCCAAAGGCAGTATTTTTGGCAGATGGGGAAGTTCTTGACAAGCTCATCAGCTGAAAACAATTTATAGCAGTGACTTGGGCAATACCCTTTCCCTCATTATACTCTGCCTACAGTGCAGCCTCAGGAAAACTGCTCACAAATAATTAGGCCAAGAAATACAAGCAGATTCTTGTTACTGTTTCTGGTAAGCTTGCCAATCCATAAGAGGTTTTAGTAATTTCCACCACTCTCACTGAACTGGGGAACATAAATCAGTAATTGGCCAAAAACTAATCTCTCCAAATAATACTTGTGATTCTACTTTTTTCTCCCTTTATTCTCCTACATAATTCATCTTAAGCTTGTTGATATGTAGTGAAAGATCACTCACTGGTGCTTTCTTTTCTTAAAAAGGAAAAATCCTTTTTAAGGATGTGTAGCACCATTGGCTGTAGCTATTTATATAAAAACACATTTCTGAAGAACACTGAGGTGAGAACAGGTAAGACTTTTTTCAATGCAGTAATTTTGAGCTTCACTTTCCTACTGCCTTCCATATATTCAAATTCCAGTGCTCCTTCCCCATGCCCAGTGTTCCTTCTCTATTCCATCCCTCTTACATTTATATTACATACACATTAGTGAATAACAGCTGTTCAGAGAGCCAGTTTGGTAATATGGATAGAAGTCCCCTTCTCCTGCATTTCTCTAGCAGCTTCCTGTGCAGGACACAGAGCAGGTTACAGTTTATCTCACACTCCTCATGTTGGATGTGTCTCCAAACCCATTTCCCTTCTTGGCCCTGCCCTCAGTACTTTTGCTGACATTTTCCAATGCACAGGCAAGAAAGACAAGGAGCTACTGGAGAGAGTGCAGTGAATGCCACAGTCATGAGGGGTCTGGAGGATCTCTCCTTCAAGGAGAGACTGCAGGAGCTGGGGCTGGTTAGTCTGGAGAAGAGAAGACTGAGGAGATCTCATCAATGCATACAAATATCTCAAAGGGGTGCCAACAGCATGGTGCCAGACTCTTTTCAAGGGTTCTCAATGATGGAACAAGGAGCAACAGCCATGAACTAAAACAAATTCCACTTCAACATGAGGAAGAACTTCTTGACACTGAGGGTGGAGAGCCCTGGAGCAGCTGCCCAGGGAAGGAGTGGAGTCTCCCTCTGGAGACATCCCAAACCCACCTGGACACGTTCCTGCACCACCTGCTCTGGGTCACCCTGCCTGGGCAGGACTGGATGGATCTCCAGAGGTCCCTTCCAACCCTAACAATTCTGTGATTCTGCTTCTGCTGCCAACAGGTAAGACTGGCATTAGGCACCATAGCCCTTTAAACATTCACACACGTTTAACTTAACTTTCAGAGCTTACTTCTGCTTGGTAAATAATGGAAATAAAATAGCTGTCCAAGAGCTGGCAGAAGGGCCCAAAAGGAGAGTTAGGGCAGAGATGGAAGAGCCCCAAAGAGAGCAGGCAGCAGGGACTGCAGCGCTGGGTTTTCCCTGGAACCACGGCATTCCATGGGAGAACGCTGCCCTCTCGTGCTGCAGCCTTCCACTGCAGCCTCAGTCACACCAGCACACAGAACACCAGCAACTATCCACTCCATTAGTATTTGGAAATCCAGAGAAGCAGAGAATAAACACACAGCTAGCATTTCTTTTACCTGGATTTTAGAAACTAATTAAAATTTTTTGTGTAATAAAGGTGAAATAAAACCTTGATAAAGCTGCAGGCTCATGTAGAGTCATTAAACTACCTGATCTCAGTTACCTTTGAAGGTCTTCCTAAAAGTACCTTATAAGGTTTAAAGAACATTGACTATGATTTAGAAACCAGTGATCATGAATTGAATACATTTTCCTGTAAAAGTATATTAAAAATAATACAAAGGAGGTTATTTGAAATGCCCACTTTTGGCCTTCCTCACATGAGCACGTGGATTGCAGCTGAGTATATCTGAAAACCCCCACCCTAACATACCACTTACATAGCAATCTATGGTTTTCAACACGGTAAGGTTCTTGGCATGGCAAGAACCTTCCTGAAGCTTCACTTTAAGTTTCAGTATCAGCAATAATAAATAAAGTTCTGAATTCACAGAATTGCCCATGTGCTCGCTGTTGCACCCAAGTCTCTCAGGCTTTAGATGCATCACCTTCCCCAACAAAGCTGTGTTTTCTTCTCCCCACTATGTCCTATTTATTGTGCTCCCAGTAATTCTGTTCTTGGTTACCAACCCTTTATAAAGCTGAGCAAGACAAACAAACAACCCCCAAAACAAACAGACATGTCCCTCAAAAAATAAAGCAATTAAAGAACACACACAAAGCCAAATCCATATACCAACATAGATCAAAGCAAGCACCTGATGATATAACCTACAACTAAGATGACACAAAATAACAAAGCTCATCTTTTGGGCATTATAAAATTTCAGCTGTGGTTAAACTAAGTCCCTTTTCCAATTAATTACATCTTAATCTCAGAGGTATTTTCAACATTATTTTATACTGACTTAAATACATGGTTTATGAAAGGAATATTAGGTATGCATGATATTGGAGAAGGAAATTGCAGAGCACAATATAGAAGGAAATAGAATAACTAACCATTTATGAATTACTATAAAATGCAATAAGTGCATAAGCAAGTATTGTATTTTATTCACATCCATGAATTTCTGCTACTTTGGAATCTGCACAGAAACAAATATTTTTGCAACAATACACTATCATAAAAATTTTAAAAATTACAGGTTATCTGAGATATCATTGTTCTCACAAGAAATCAATGGAGTATCTGATCTTAAAGATGTTAAGAAGCTCTAAATAATTTTAGCTGCAAGTGCAAGGACACTTACTTTTCCCAATAATCAAAAGCTGAATATTTTACCCTTTTATTGAAATATACATATATATAATATAAAGATATACTACAATACTGTAAAGTATAGAAATAACATGTATTATACCTAAGAATTAAACTTGTTGTGCACCTTTTTGAAGGACTGCACCAAACCTCAGCAAGTTGGCTTTGTGCTAAAGGGAGCCAGGCAATAAAAGGTTCCTGGAATGAAAGAAATCAAAAGAAGAGAACCCTGACATTTAGAATCAACAAGGTATCTTGTGAAATGTTCTGATTTTCCTCACTTGCTAACACATGCCATGAGACCTTAAGAAACAATGTATTCCCTAACAGGAAAAAAAAAAAGAAAACTAAATGGTCTTGTGTGATAATGCCACAACTTGGAACAAAGTAACAGGAGATTAAGTATGGTAACTGACCACAATGAACCCTTGTGTCAAGCTTAGAAAAAATTACCTAACTTGGGTAATTTCTAAGCCTAAATACTCACAAACAAGTAATTTAAGTGGATCAACACAAGCATCCTTCAGATTTTCAGATTTCCAATATTCGCAACACTCTGCTTGCATAATGGAAAAGGCTAAAACTCCTAAATCCTTAAGTCTTACATTCAAAATTATGATTAAAAAACAAGGCACATGTTTTTCATGTAAAAAACAGAGCGGCCAAAATTCTGATCTGTGCTCAGAAACCATTCTTTGTACAACATGAACTTTCTGTTTCTTTATAGGGTAATGAGGCAGCAAAATGTGCATCAAGCACATTTCCTTCATGCTGCAAAACTACCTCCACAGCTAAGGGCAAGTTTCACTAACAATAAAGTTTGTATAAAGATTTTAACAGAACTGAACTTTGCTATATATTCTGTTATTAACCAAATTTGATTTTAAATATACTCCTCTATCAGAATTCAAACTAGCAGCATGAAGAGAAATTTTCTCCATCTGCACAGAAACTCATCTTAACTAAAAATTATCTATTGTGGATATAATAACTTCTAATACAGGAATGCAGAACTTTAACACACAGAGGTGCACAAATATGAACGTTCTGTTGAAGTATTCTGCCCTTCTTCAGGCAGAAGTGCATTTTTCAATGTGTCTGAACAAATACAAAGCAGCAAATGACAATACAGGCTTGAACATGATACACTATAAAAATCAGTCCCTTGAAACAGAGCTGCTGTCAGACACTGAAATCACATCTCCCACACACATCAGGATTACAGATTAGCAGAGTGGTTCACCTTAAAGGAGACCAAAAGAAAAAAAGACTCCTCAACCAAATCTGAGCAATCATTTTCCAAACAAAAAATTCATTTAAGTCCTGAATTCCCAGGACAGAACAGCAAATCCTTAAATCACAACTAAGGCTGCTGGAAAGGCACATCTGAGGACTGGCATATTTTTGTATATTTATCTGATGACAGTTCAGAATAACACAAAGGGAGACTTTTTTAAATTGACTTAAAAAAGAAACCTTTAAAACCACTTACATCACCAGCTGAATATTAAAAACAAATGCCTAAAACATACTTGTGGTTTTTTTTTGACTGAAACCATAAATAGGACATCTATTCAAGATGCAAAAAGGTTTAAATTTGGTTTAAACGCCAAGTATTGAAAGATTGGGAATTAGATAATTTAATTTCTTTTCACAGCTACTGAATCTAAGCAGAGAAATATATTTTTTCCCAGCTTTGCTTTACTGGACTAGAAGTGCTGCATAAAAAAGTAAACATACTTTGGAAAAAAACTCTTGAAGACAGACTGCAAAAAGACTTACCTTTTTAAAAACTTTTCCTGATGGCTGGATTTCATCTTCCTCTTTCAGAATTTCACGTGTTCCCAAGAGTTTTTTGTCCTTATATTTCGTTTTAGCATATTTAAAAACTTTGTCGAGTGTATCACACCCAGGATATAAAACTGAAGCCAAGCAATGCAGACTGTTCACAGATCTGTATGCACCCCCAGGCTTGTTATTCACAGGCCTGGCTTTAACCTGCTTGGCTTTTGCTATAGCCTGCTTTGATCCTGAAAGGATGTACCATGGAATGTATGTTACAAGGGAGTACACCAGGACTATGAAGTTTATAAACTGTAAAAGAATAGGGTTGATGTTATGCTTCAACTTCATTTTGGCCGCTTGAGAATGTTACAAGAGACAGTTTGGAAGCATGGATCAGCTAGACAGGGGCCCAAACAGATCTGAAAAGAGAAACAAAAGAAGAGGTTAGTAGTAAACTATCACTGTTGGCAGAAGATATTTTTAAACATGATATTACAATCCATATCCCAGAAAGTGTCTTTATGCAGGAGTTGGAAGTCTGAGTCCCACACACAAATGAAAGCAGACACATGAGGTAGAGTTGCTCCACCTCCCTTCAGCAGGCTGCATGCAGTACAGTGACATTTGCATCACAGGTATTTATCTGGAAGTGTTTTGTGATTATGCAGTTTAAAAGATCCTCTTCAACATCAGAGCACCTCCATGTGCACCTTCACTAGGAATCCCTATGACCACTGACTGTGAAACCTCCAAACAAGCCCTAGGAACAAGGCAATGTCACTCGGCACATGGGAACCCCAACCACTAAGGATGCTGGAATGTTTCCCCAGTGTTGGACACACTGGGGCAGCCACCTGAGAGAAGGAAAGCTGTGTATGTGACAGAACTTTGCTGCTTTATTCCCAGGGACTTCCCATCAGTCCTATGATTTCAGTCTCAGAACCAGTATCCAGTGAGCCCACTTGTACCAATAAACATGAGCTAAGTAATACTGGGTAAATACCAGAAAAGAGCTTATAAATATCCCCAAATTCCTAGCAACAGCACAATGAAGAGATGTGTAAGTTTTTCCAGAGTCCTTAATGATGCCAGGATATTCACTTTGTCTTTTTTAAAAGCATAATTTACTATATCTAATGACTGCAATAATGATGCAACTTTCTAATGTATTCTACTGTTGAGTCATGAAATTATGCAATCTGTCTAAAAGATTAAAAAGGTAAATCAACAGAATAACTGAAATCCTTATGGAAATCAGGGATGGTTGCCATAATGGCTAAAGATGAACTTCTGCAACAGTCCATGAGCCATTAGTTGAAAAACAATGTTTTGTATATAATAAACTACAAATGCACTTCACCCAGTAAGCTTTCAAACTTATTGATACAACGTATTAAAAGCAGTACCATAAATCAAGCAACTAATAATGATGTATACATAATCTGCACAGCTTTTGACAATTCTAAATTAATTTTTATTTATGACATGCATTATTCTGTGCTGATGTCTTACACTCTTTGACTTTTCCTCCATTAACTCTCTGAAATCCCTAATAAACAGAAATTTGAGTTGAAAAAAGTAATGTTTAAATCATATAAGATCCTTCAGTAGCAATGGAAAGAAGCCTTGCTTCATTAATCCTAGATCTGCAGTCCTTTTGGGAATGGATCAATCCAGCATCCTTCACTTCTAGGATGAGATTCATTCCATCTTTCCCTGAACACAAAACTTCCTAAAACTCCAAGCAAAAATATTTCATGATCATCTTTTTCCCTAACAAGCTGCTGTAATCTCACTGTTAACAAACTGCCAGCAATGATGCAGTGAAGGAACCAAACAACATCAAAGTCTGTTCTGCAGAGCACCCTGAGACACAAACTCAAATAAACCACAGGAGCTCTTCACAGCAGGAACTTACTGCAACAAGCAGCAGCGGAGGAAAGATTTAAAATATTTTAAAAATTAAATGGAAGTGCATATATTTTAATGTTCAGATCAAAGGCAAAATGCAATGACAAATAGAAAACAAACTTAAATAGGCTAAAGGGCAAATTCAGTAATCGCTTGAAGAGACTTATGTTCTTAGGGTGCCACTGAAGGATACGTAATGAAAATAATCATGATCCAGCCAATCAGCTACTGCAGGCCAGAAAAATTATACTGTTGTTGATAGCAACACAGAATAAGATGTTTAAAAGCCAAATTCAGAGTTCACACAACAAGAGTTTAGTAATTTTTAAAAATTTTTTATGTTGTACTATTATTTTGCCTGGCACAGTTCAGGAGATGAACATCTCTTTTCTCCTTATAAAGCTGGAGAACTTCTCTCTGCCTAAAAAGTAGAAACAGAATTTAAGCAAACACAGCTACATATAAAAATTAAAGCTACTCATTTAATACCTTTAGGCAAACTGTTCTTCAAAGAATTCTAACACACAGCCAAAGCTGTTCAAATAATATTTTCTCTAGGTTTCATAACTTTCCTTGGTTAGAGAGGCACTGAACCCTTCCAGAACAGCAGCCTCCCATTTCATTTTGCAGTTAGTTATCCCAACAGCTTTATTTTTTCCTCAGAAGGAGAGAGGAATCTTTTCCACTATTTCTATGCTAACCATGCCAAGGTACCATGTCAAGTTCCTCTTCTGGCTCACCCTTGCATAATAACCTCCTAAACCTGGAAATCTTTGCTTTGAATTGCAAACATAAATTGTGCTTTGCTCATCATTTCATAAAAGGCTGCATTGCAAGGAAGGGTCTAAGGAACACTCCAACAGAACAGACTAAAGTGACAGTCTTGCTCAGAAAAGCAAGCATCCTGTTCTAGAACTCTGCTCTGATGTACATCTCTTAAATTGCTAATTATTTCAGTTATTCCTTCACAAAAGTGAGCCTATTACCAGTCATCTATTGAAAACAGTTTATTTTAAAAATTAAGACAATTTTTTTTCACTCAAAATGTAATATTTTTAAGATTCAAAATTATCTTTTGCAAATGAAGTTTCTTGTCTAACAGGCCGAGTAAGAGTCCATTTTTTTCCTTCAAAAATCTTATCACTATGAGATAGTAAACTTTAGCAAGAGAGAGCTCAAGTGCCAATGTCTTAAGAATTTGACAATGGATTGAAGAGTGTGATATTTACAGAGCATCTATGCTTGTTACTAATTGTAATCACCATTGCAATTGGACATTGGAAAAGTGCAATGCCTTTTGGAACAAGAAAGAAAAATATATTCCAGTAGTTTCATTAGCAGAATAAGCTCCAGGACCTTTGTAGGGTGACGGTTCTAAGGAGAGCTGAGCCATGACACCAAGTTCCTGGGTGGCACTATAAAGGCTCCCCCTCTTTCCCTGTGTAACTGAGGAACAGAAGCTGCATTTTAACTCATCATTTTGTTGATTTGTTTGCTATGTTGTTGAAGAGGAAAATACCAGGTAAGCAAAGGAGATGCAGTTTAAACTGCCTTTGTGCCCCACAGATTTATAACTGCCATTCCCAAAAGAACATCAAAGACAGCTAAGTGGATCACTAAACATTCAATTAAAAATCATTTTGATGAGAGTATAGAAGCAAAACTCTACCCTGACTTGAGGCTGGAGTGCTAGATGTAAGGCAATTATGTTTTACAGCAAGCAAAACCAATGCAGCTGAACATGACAGTACATTTTGTCTTGGTTTTTATTTTCCTTTTACAAAAGGTCATTTAACCTCCATTAAGAAAACCACTTTTAATGCCAATGTAAAAGAACAACACTGTTTACATTAAGATACAATGCTTGCTCATGCATTCTTCTCTGTAACAATTATTATTTCAAACCTTTAATGCATGCTATTTTAAAAACTCAAAATGAAAATACAGTATTAAAAATCAACCTGCAGAACTAATCTAAAAATGAGAAGTTTTAGTGAAATTCTCAAGGTTATATCAAACCTGGAAGGCCTAAAAGGGAAGCAATGTTTGCTGTTTAATATTCTGCCTTTAAAAAAAAAGTAGTACCCAACAAAAACAAAACTTTGAAAGGGTTAGTGAAATACTATACATGGTTTAACATGCAATTGAAGTACAATATGTTGTACTTTTTAATTTTGGAAGTAGATAACTGCTTCTGACTATAAAAAGAGTGTAAGCAAACTCATCATTTTGGGGCAGGGAACAGAAAGCAGAGGACATGATCCTAAGCAGTTTTTGCAAGTATGAGACTATGGCACAGTGAGAAAGTTCACTGCATTTTCAGCACTGGAATTTTGTTCTTAGGTAGTTTAATCACTGACAAATAAAAACACATGACACGTGGTAATATTCTAACTCACTGGTTTGGTCTGCAGATTAGCAGTAAACACTCAGGTTCTTACAGAACATGAGTCCATCCTGGTTTCACATAATCCTGCTGGGGTTTTTGAGGATTCAGTGCTCAGACCCTGACTAGTGATGCAGGAAAGGTTGGGAGGTGAAATCCTGGATGAAAGAGCTGCTAATTTATACTAGAATATAACTCAGAGAAAATCTGCTCAAGCAAAGGGTTCTGGATATGCATAAGAGCTGTTCACTAACATGTCATTCATGTTTAGTCTGGTAGTCACCAAATGGGAAAGAGCAAGACCATAAATTAAGTCTGACACACTTTTCCAACAGCAAAAAGAAGCAGCAACCAGCACACTCATTCATGAGTCTGGAGAAATAAACCAGCACTTTTCAGGACTGATCCTTCTTAATGCATAATCAGTGATTTGGCCTGATATACTACTTACACTAATACTGTTATACCCTTTAGTTTCAGAAGAAAACTTTTGTTAGATGACAAAGAAAAAAATCCTTCAAGGAATGTGTTTACTAATTGACCTGCTTATAACAATTACATGACAATAAAAGCAAGAATTAACAAGAAAAAAAGGAACCTTATGCAACTTCTCATCGTGGCAGGTACAGGTTCAAGAGCTGATACAAGGTGTTCCAGTCTCAGTTTACTCAACAGGAGCTGTCACAGGCAACTGCATGAAATCTAAAAATGGAAAATTCCCATTAAATACAGCAATTATAAAACACATCCTCCATTTTTTCACTCGTATTTTATAATAAATAAAACCTTTTTCTTATCTGATACTGCACTGTATCACCTCAGAGAGTCCAGGCCCACTGCATACAAGTTATCACAAAGCCAGATGTGACACACAGCACAGGCACTGCTCAGACCTGAGTCCTGAACAACCAAGGTGGCTGCAGCAGCTCTGGCTGAACTCAGGAGCTCATGGTGCTTGTCTCCCTGAGAAATTCTCACTCCCCAGTGCCTTTCAGTGTACACTGAACCATTCTGTACATTCTACCATGTAGGGCAAGAAAAAACCAGACCTATCTTTGTGTATCCACCCACACAGAGAATGCACTTCAGCCTGAGCAATAAAATATTCTTGAACATTTTACAAAAAGACTTAATAAAATAGTAATCATTATATTTATTGACTTTGCTCTACTATACATTAAAGTTTTATTTATTGTGCTTTGCAGAAAGAAGTCTTGAAAACCTGTGCCAGCAAATCACATTTAAAATAGGCCAATGTAAACATTTTGTACCTATTACCTTTATGCAAACATTACTATTTACACAGTTCTCAAAGATAATCTTTTCCAGTTTCAGTGGATTAACTATTTGCTGTTTGAGGTGAGCACCCAGCATGCTCACTGCCCTGGTTTTTGACTTCCATGACTTTACACATAATAATCAAACTCCAACCAAGAGACTCCAAGATACTCTTGCAAAAAAACCCCATTTTGGTCAACAATTTATAGTTGTAGAAATACATATTAAATTTCTCTTATCGGTGAATCTTGCAAAAAAAAATCCCACTGATTTATTAACATTCACTGAAAGGATAAAAAGGTTATTCACAGGATTAGGCTTTAACAGACAAAATAACAGAGCATCTTCATGTACTGCCCACTCTCTTCATTACAAAATGTAACAATAGGAGTTCTCAAGACAATGTAACAAAGCTCTTAATATTTTAAACTGTACCAAAAAATAGCCTATATTAGTTTACCTCTGGACTCAAAAAGTAACATTAACAACCCTGAAGAGGCAGGCTTTTACTACATCTGGAATTCACTCAAGAGCTGTCAGTATTTGCCAGCACTCAGCAAGTAAGCCTTGCTTTTACAAAAAAGAAGAGACCAAAAAGAAAGAAATCCCCATCACTGATTTAAAAATACTCATGTAGCCATCTATATAAAAATAAGAAGGCAAACCAAATGTGCACAGACACAACAGCCAATGCTTCACAAGGCAACTCCCTGGACTGTGGAGCAAGGAGGGCCCGAGGCAATGAACAGGGCAGAGGAGAGCCCCAAACATGCACCTACCTAAGGGGAAGGTCTCCTTGGCAAGATGGGTTTAAGGGACGGCTCTATTTGAAAACAGATGCTCTTCACAGGTACAGCAAAAGTGTTTTCACATATTTCTTGAAACAGAGAGGATAGAAATCCCAGCAAGCCCTACTGAATGCTGGAAATGGATGCTTTGGGTCCCTGGAGAGGAGCAGCACATCCTCCCAAATTGGAAGCAACAACATCATGGGCACAAGGACACACCTCACCTCCCCAGCCCACCCTTCCCTGCTTCCCACAGGCCTCTCCTCCCACCACCTCCTGCACTCCCTGGGCTCTGCTGCCCTGGCACTGCCTGTGGGGGCTGTGCTGCTCTCCAGGCCGTCCTGGCAGACCCCTCTCTCCCAGGCCCTGTGGCTTCCACACAAGTGCACACGCAGTCCTTGTCCCCTGCTTGCTGATTTTCCAGCCTCTGACCCCTCACAGTCTCCCTTTTCCAGGCTGCTGCTGGGTCTCAGCATCACTTCTAGCACAAGGGAGACCTTCCATGAGCTTCCCAAACATCCCCAGAACCCTCCTCCAGGCAGGCCTGGACCCTGTTACAAACAGGAGTGCCTCTCTGCAGTCAGGCTGGGAACAGGTCCATGGCTCTGTCCCAAAGGACATCTGCTTTCAGCAGGGAGGAACAGCTCAGCACACTGACCCCCAGGAACCCCCACCCACTGGGAACAACCCCAGCAGGACCTTCCTCAGCAGCTCCACATGACCACACAGGCATGGAACAGCCTCTGCTACAGGGAGATCTAAAAGAGGACTGCATGGCTGTAACACAGGCGCACACTCAGCCAGAGGTTCTCCTGAAACTCTTTCAAACATACAAGAATGAAAGTAATTCCCACATCAACTGCAGTCCCTGATGTCTCACCCCCAGTCCCAGACAGGAGACAACCTGTCTGTCCCTGGACTCTCCCCTCCCTGCTGCTCCACATCCTGTGAACTGCTCTGGTCAAACACAAAGGAGGGAAGGTGGGAGACCAAAATTGCTATTGATTATGTCTCTGCCCCCAAAAGGAAGCAGATCTTCATGACATTGAGAGAATAAACAGTCTCTGAAAGGACACATAGGGTAATTCTGAGCTACCTTATTCAGATGATCTGCAGTCTCCAGCTGTGACCCACCTCCAGCACAAGGCTGGGGGAACCCTAAGGCTCTTTAAATGCTTCCCCTCGCTCTGCCAGGGAGCACAGGGCTGGCAGATGGCCAGAGCCAGCACAGCACTCCCACTCCTGCTTCCACAACTCAACCCACTCAAGGCTTCAGCATAAGCACATCTACAACCCAGCTCCAGTCCCAAGGGAACCTCAGGCACTGCTCTGCAGGAGCATGGCTCTGAGCAGCACAGGGGTATAGTAGAAGTCCTAGTAAAATATCTGTATTGTATTTGAATATCTGTATATAGGCCTTACCCTGATAAGCCCTGGTTGTTTTTGATGGGCTGCAGCTGTGGCTAGTGAAGATAACTGTGATAAAAGGGGGTGGGCTTGGCCAGTCAGAGAGAGCCTAGAAGGAGCCCTGACTAAGAAGCAGCACAAGAAGTCTGTGCTGAGAAGAACTGCCCCCAAGAAATATCATTGAGAAGGTACAGGGCTTTAGAAATATGATTGCAACAGTATGGGACTCTAGAAATCAGATCACAACACGACAGGGGCACACAGAGCAGCAGGGAACAGGCACCATGACCTGCAACAAACCAGCTCCCAGGTAGGAGTTTGACACGCTGCTGGGGCAGCAAAGGGTGTGCATGAACTGCACAGCCCCAGGCTGTGATTTCAGCCTGGCTCAGGCAGATTTAACGCTGGGCTGCTAATAAAAACAGACTGTTCATCTCCAAAAGGTAATTCCACTCTTGCCCTCCATTGTACCAACACACCAGTGCCTGTGTGGCTAGGAGTGAATCAGATTAGCTTGTTGATCCAGTTTAAACCCTCTCCTTCTCAGGGTGGAATGCTGGATTTTCCTCTGTATCAACTTCGGTTGGAGCCTACCCTGAGTCACTGCAATCACCTAAATCAACAGAAAATTAGCACTACAAAAGATGTTATTCTTCTGCTACGGCAAACTGAGTAACCATGACCTGACAGGAGTTACTGACAAGGCAAAACCCGAGGAGCAGAGGGAAGGAAGGAGCCTGGCAGGGGAGCAGCACATGAAATCCCACTGGGCTGTGGATGAAGCAGGCTCAGCACAGGGCCAGCAGGACACCCTGTGACACGGGTGTCACAGCACTCTGCTCTGGGGATTAACCTGCTGCGCTCCTGCTCATCATCTCACTGCTTACTTCTATAGAGCTCAGCCTTGGGGGGTGCAAGTGCTACAGGCTTAAATACCTTTGAACTTTGGGTATGGGCTCATACACATCCTATAAACACAAAGGGGTTTCATTTATGTCCTTCACATGTCAATGCTATGTTTGCAAAATTATACTCCAATTTCCTTAGGAAGCAGCCAAAAGGCATGTTATTAGGATTAATCAATTATTGCATCCTTGTTAAACACCAAGATACTACAAAGGTAGGAATTACATGAACAAAAGAAGTCCTTCTACCCTAGAGAGACACTCTCTACTAAACTAAACTAACTAAATTTTGATACAAAGGAGAAAGTTTTATTATCTAGAAAAGATTCCTTTTCCTCTTATAGATTAATGTACATCAAGTAGGAAAAAAAAAAATCACACCTAGTGTTGGCAGACAACAGGGAGCCAAATGCAGAAACACAGAACTAAACTAGATAGAAGGAACTTCTTGAGGGCACAGAACTGTTCTTTCTCTAAAATAGAGCCTTAGCATATCCAGTTATTCTAAAAAGGTAATGGTAAGTGGGTATTAAAAACTTCAATTTGATGTCAACCTCTTTTAGGTACACCCAAACCCTACTGTTTGCAATTTCACTGCACACTGCAGGACAGCAAGGTTTGTACATTTCTCTTCTCCTTCCTAACAAAACAGAGTGACATCTATAAGAAACTGAAAGCTAAAGTGACATCACAAAGCAGACAAACAAAACAGACAAACAGAATTATTTCCCCCACAAAAAAACCTACAGGACTCTAACACACAGCTTGACTGCACGGGCTACAAGCTTGAGTTTAAACCTTTGTTCCAGGTGAAAAATAAAACCAAATCAAAGTGAGTTCAACACTAACAAGCTGCAGGAACAGTAATTAAACACTCCTAAAGCTACCTTGCCTTGCAAGATGAACACCCTTCCAACAAAATCTCAACTAAAAATGCAAGCCTCGTTGTAACACTGCATCTTAGATTTTTTCTATTTAAAACATTTTAAAACTTATTTTCCTTAAATAAGGGGTTTTTTTTAACTTATCCAAGACAGTTTAGATATTTAGTGGATTGACAAACACATCTTTATTAATAAAAACAATAAAAGACAGGTCTAATGTGACAACTTTGTCAGCAAACCTGAAAGCGCTTCCCAAAAACAATTGTGCTAAAACCACTTCTTCAAAATCACGTATGCCAGAGCACAATCCAGTGCTGCTCCATCTATCATCTCCTTCCCCTCCCACTACATACATGACACTTCATGGCAAACAAGTGTCTTAACTCGTTTCAGGCACTTTGCCAGACACTGTCAATACATTGCTTCCATTTCTTTTCACA